ATAACCTGGCGTACAGCGATTATAACATTTCCCTGTTATATGAGGACAGTGTTGTGATCCTTTACACTGCCTATTGTCACATCCTTTACTACACATATCTCCATAGGCACCATTCTGGCATTCTAAAATAAAACATAAATGAGACTGTGAATCCTTGTTATTTTATAAGTTTCAGGGAAATGTATTCTGTTAAAATCAAGACAGACTTACTTTTTATACAATCATTTCCTCTATAACCTGGTTTACAACCATCTGTACATTGTCCTGTTATATGATGACATTCTTGTGATCTTTTACAATGTCTCTTGTTACATCGTTGATTACATCTATCTCCATATTTACCACTTTGACAACCTGAAATATAATATAAAGAATTCTATATAGGACTGAGATTTCTTGATATTTTATCATTGATAAGTGTAGACAGTTCGATTCAAAACTTACTCAATCATATCCTCTATAACCTGGTTGACAACCATCAGTACATTGTCCTGTTATATGATGACATTCTTGTGATCTTTTACAATGCCTATTGTTACATAGTTTACTACATTTATCTCCATAGGCACCATTTGGACAACCTGAAATATAATATAAAGAATTCTATATAGGACTGAGATTTCTTGATATTTTGTTATTGATAAGTGTAGACAGTTCGATTCAAAACTTACTCAATATACAATCATATCCTTTATAACCGGGTTGACAACCATCAGTACATTGTCCTGTTATATGATGACAGTGTTGTGATCCTTTACAATGTCTCTTGTTACATCGTTTACTACATCTATATCCGTATTTATAGTAAATTACGTTATTTTGGCTGGAGGTCGTGCAACAATATTACCCGTGAAATGCTGGTTAAGAGGCGTTTACAGAGGAATTGGTTAATCAAACAGAATTATATCCTTTTTATGAATTAATCCTAAAAATGGAATTAGACTTACTAGTATTACAGCTACCTCCATACCATTCTGTCTGACATCCATTAGGACATTGACCAGTTATAACATCACATTTATCATAGTTCAAACAATGACAGAAATTATTACATTCTGAACCATACGTTCCTGTAGCACAAACAGTAATAGAGAGAGACAGTACGTTCCTGTAGCACAAACTGCAATAGAGAGGGACAGTACGTTCCTGTAGCACAAACTATAATAGAGAGGGATAGTACGCTCCTGGAGCACAAACTGTAATAGAGAGAGACAGTACGTTCCTAGAGCACAGACTGTAGTAGAGAGGGATAGTATGTTCCTAGCGCACAAACTGTAATAGAGAGTGATAGTACGTTCCTGGAGCACAAACTGTAATAGAGAGAGACAGTACGTTCATAGAGCACAAACTGTAATAGAGAGAGACAGTACGTTCCTAGAGCACAGACTGTAATAGAGATAAACAGTACGTTCCTAGAGCACAAACTATAATAGAGAGAGGCAGTACGTTCCTAGAGCACAAACTGTAATAAAGAGAGACATTACGTTCCTACAGCACAAACTGTAATAGAGAGAGACATTACGTTCCTAGAGCACAAACTGTAATAGAGAGGGACATTACGTTCCTAGAGCACAGACTGTAATAGAGATAAACAGTACGTTCCTAGAGCACAAACTATAATAGAGAGAGGCAGTACGTTCCTAGAGCACAAACTGTAATAAAGAGAGACATTACGTTCCTAGAGCACAAACTGTAATAGAGAGAGACATTACGTTCCTAGAGCACAAACTGTAATAGAGAGGGACATTACGTTCCTAGAGCACAAACTGTAATAGAGAGAGACATTACGTTCCTAGAGCACAAACTGTAATAGAGAGAGACATAACGTTCCTAGAGCACAAACTGTAATAGAGAGAGACAGTACTTTCCTAGAGCACAAACTGTAATAGAGGGAGACAGTACGTTCCTGGAGCACAAACTGTAATAGAGAGAGACAGTACGTTCCTAGAGCACAAACTGTAATATAGAGAGACAGTACGTTCCTAGAGCACAAACTGTAATAGAGAGAGACAGTACGTTCCTAGAGCACTAAGTGTAATAGAGAGCGACAGTACGTTCCTAGAGCACAAACTGTTATAGAGAGAGACAGTACGTTCCTAGAGCACAAACTGTAATAGAGAGAGACAGTACTTTCCTAGAGCATAAACTGTAATAGAGAGAGACAGTACGTTCCTAGAGCACAAACTGTAATAGAGATAGTCAGTACGTTCCTAGAGCACAAACTGTAATAGAGAGAGACAGTACGTTACTAGAGCACAAACTGTAATAGAGAGAGACAGTACGTTCCTGGAGCACAAACTGTAATAGAGAGAGACAATACGTTCCTAGAGCACTAACTGTAATAGAGAGAGACAGTACGTTCCTAGAGCACAAACTGTAATAGAGAGAGACAGTACGTTCCTGGAGCACAAACTGTAATAGAGAGTGACAATACGTTCCTAGAGCACAAACTGTTATAGAGAAAGACAGTACGTTCCTAGAGCACAAACTGTAATAGAGATAGTCAGTACGTTCCTAGAGCACAAACTATAATGGGTAAAAACAAAGTTGGTCAGACAAAGTAACATACGCCCACTGGCAGCTTGAAAACACAGTCTTTAGTGTCTAATTTTATCATATATAAGCAAATTGGGTTTGACTCTAGATACAAACTGTTTCCTCTATCGTGTCATCATATATAAATTTCTCAAGGGCAATAACTCAGAAACCAAAATCAAATTATTGTCATTATCAAACTTGACCAAGATCTCATTATTATATTGTTATATATATGCATACCAGGTTTCATCCAGTTGAGATAAAAAAAAACTGTAGCCTCTTTCATGTCTGAAAGCCAAATTTGAATTGTTTTTATTAATTCAAGAGCAACAACTTTTGCTTGATACTTTCTGTACAATGTGTAAACTACAACGAAGATAATCAAAATCACCACCAAAACTGTTAAGATTATGATTGTTATATCTTTATCTGAAACTAAATCCAATAACTTTATGTTTCGGGAACACGAACGGTCATTGGGGGCGGTGATGAAACTCTTACTGGTTTGATATTATAAATCCTATCGGCAACGCTATAATCTTGTCGTGGATTTCAAATTAAAACGAAAGTAAGGCTGCAACGATTCACCGATGAATCGATGAACCCCGATTCTTACCTTCTTATCGATGCATTGCGTTGGATAAAAATAATCGTGATGTATCGGGACGATTAATTCTTAGTCCCCTTTAATAACAAATAACACAGAATCCTTGTGTGTATAAGAAATTGTGTCATGTTTTCATTTTCACATTAAAATTTGCAAAAATTCATTTCTGACTTTAAAACATGAGATTTTTTTCACAATTCCTTACTTTTAAATATTCTCAAGTGCTTAATAGTGACAAACTTGTTAGTAATTTTACAAATTTCTACTATTTTTTTCTCTTTCCTTCTCTAATAAACGCATCACGGTAATAATCGCAATAAATCGTATTGTTGGATGAGTATCGTATAGTGTATCGAATGGCAACTTCAAGAATCGTTGCAGTCCTAAACGAAACAAATCAATAGCCTATTGCTTTTCGTTCTATGATATTTTCCTTCTGATTCAAAGCATGATCCAAACAACAATAATTTAATTTCAATGCAAACAATAAAACAGACCACACAATAAAACTTAAAAAAAACACCTAGAAATTTATCACTATCATAATAACGACAAGATAGTTTGATTTTCAGAGTTGCTTCCCTTAACTGTCTTACTAACAGGTCTACTCAAATGTGCACTAAACACAATTAACGCAATGGTGTCAGCAACATATCACTA